ATTCTTCGGGATGATCTTCTAATAGTCTTTGTAAAATTAGTCTTTCGAATACTTTTGATAGGGATGGAAGCAGGCTTATAGGTCTATAAGATTTTACGTCAGATGAATCTTTGTTTGGTTTTGGGATCATAATGATTTTTGCATTCTTCCAAACAGATGGCCAGTAGTTAAATTGAAGAATGGAGTTGAAAATGGATGTGATAAATAATAGACATTTTGCTGGAAGTTCTTTTAACATTTTAGGAGAGACTTGATCGTTTCCGGGGGCTGATTTTGATTTGATAACTTTGATTTTACTTTTGATTTCACTTGGTTTAAAAGGTCTTATGGTAGACGTTTGGTAATTTCCTTGAAGGGCATTCAATATTTCAATTCCAGGTGACAAGTTTTGTTTTTTGAAAACATCAATCAAGTATTCTGCGAATGCTTTACACTTTTCAGCGTCACTTTTAGCCCAAGTTATGTGGTTCTGAGAGCAAACTTTGAGAGGCGATTTTGACATTACAGGTTTATGTTTGTTCTTTATAGGCTTCCAAATAGAGGCATCACATCTATTTAGCTGCAAAACATATGAATTAAAGGAATCATTCTTCCAAATGGCGAATAATTTATTGCTAATTTGGTTAACACTACTTTTGTCCTCCGGCCAATGAGTTTGTTGCCACCTCCGCCTGGCCTTCCTCTTTGCAGCTATTAATCTTTTTATGTCGGATGGTATTACTTGATTATCTTTTCGTGGTGGGATACTTGGTGTTGATTCAACGCATGCGTCAATGATAGTTTTATTCAAAAACAAAACTTGATTGTCAATTTCATCAGCGAGTTTCGGGCGTTGAATTAGCTTAATTTTTGAATTTATAATGTTTCTGTAATTGTTCCAGTCAGTAAATTTATTGCCGATTTATAAACTGCAAGGCCGATAAACAGGAATCGGACTTGAAAAATAGGTTAAAAGAATTGGGGAATGGTCGGAAAATAAATCAAAGTTAGGTTCAATAATGAGTTGCGATGTTGGAATACCTTTTATTATGAAGAAATCAAGCAAATCTGGAATTCTGTTAACATCGGTTGGCCAATATGTTGGTTGACTAGTAGTTATATGTGAAGCATTTATTTGATTTATTGATGTTAGTAGTTCTTTTCTTTTGGCAGTGGTTAGTCTAGATCCCCATGATGTGTGTTTGCAGTTAAAATCACCTCCGACAATGAATTTATTGCCTAAACTGTTGAAAAATGAAGTATAATCAGCGGCTAAAATTTTATGTCTTGGCGGGCAGTAAATAGATGCTAGTGTTATATCATAATTTTTGGTTTGCATAGAGATTAAAGAAGCTTGTATAGTCTCTGATTGAACAGTAGGCAGGGTGTGGTGTTTAATATTGTTTTTTATAAGAATTGCTGCTCCTCCATGACATTTCCCATCCGGGTGATTTGCAGAGTAGGTTATGTAGTTGTGAATTTTGAAATATGATTTAACATTAAAGTTTGTTTCGGAAATTAGTAGAATATCGACTAGATTGAGTTTTAGAAATATTTCCAATTCGTATTTACGTTGAATGACGCCGTTTGCGTTCCATTGACATATTTTAATTGCTTCTACCATTATTTAATTTGTTTACTAAAATGGTTAGCATATTGAGAATAGTTGAATTTTGTTTGTACATTTGTTGGAACATAATTTTGAACTCGGTTAAGAATTCATTTATTGGAGTGGAAGAATCTGGTGATGAGTTTTGAAAGGAACGATTATTTTTAGTGGCATCGTTGTTAAGATTTGAACGTAGGAAATGTTTGTTTCATATTTGATTCGGTAGTATGTTGAGTTGAGTGTAAGTCGGATTTGAGTAAACTGCATTTCGGTTTGTTAATCGGACCTCTTGTTTATACTTCTGAGCGTATAAATTTTGATATACGGGACAACCTTTGTAACTCGAAACATGGTCTTGATCACATAAGGTGCATTTGGCTGGAAGATGAGGTTCTTTTTTACACTTTGCAGTCTCATGAAAATCTGAACATTTCAAACAGCGGTGGATATGATGGCAATATGCCTTGGTGTGACCATACTTTTGGCAACGGCTGCATTGTACTATTCGTTTGTGAATTCTAGGTAGTTCAATTTTTATAATTGAGTTTTTAAATTTAGTTATGTTAAACACATACTTGTTATTATCAGCTGGTTCTAAGTCAATGTAGAACAAGTTAAGTGGTTCGTTATCATATTTACTTCTAATATTAGTTATGTTTCTTACTACGTGTCCCGATTTGAGCAGTTCTGATTTTATTTCTTCAATGGATGTTGAATGGTGGATATTTCTACTTACTGCTCAAAATGCTCTTTCTTCTGTAAGTTGAAAAGTGTGAAACTCGGCTTTCTTGGTTATTAATAACTTCACTAGATGTCTATATGAGTCAGAATTTGAGCACTGGATTTTAATTGAATTATCAAGCATGCATTTATAGTAATATTGTTTTTCGTTTAACACTTTTTTTATGTCGTTGAACATGTCGTCAATATCAGAAACGTTTGAAACAAAGATCGGCGGAGGTTTGACAATTTTTTCGGGTTCATTCGACGTGTTTTCTAATACACTGAATCTATTCCTTAGTTCTATTGGAGTTCTAGGATCTTGTGTTTTTCTTTTTTTCGATTTTGAAGCTATTTGCCAAGAAATATCATCTTCTTCCATTGTTATTTCGGTCTCCTCTGAATTCAAATTAGTTGACATTGTGTTAGATTGTATTTTGTTTTTTAATTGGCCTTCATCGAATTCGCAGTCTGAACTTTGAATATTATTATTCTCTTGAAGTGTTTTCATAAATGGAAACTATAATATCACTTAACGTACCCCCATATGGGGATACAATTAGAAAAATATTTAAATTGTGATCACTTTTGTGGATTAATTTCACTTTCACAGTAATGTTTAACCTATGATTATGGATTACTTGCGCGTTTAATTTCGACGCGAGCGCTCTCACAGCACGTCCGTTCGTTACGAGGGTTCAACGAGAACTGTTGTAATGGGGTATGAATGATTAATCATCCCAAAATATTACACGGATTTTCATAAATCTTCCTGAAGTTTGTTCGGGGAATTTTATAAGATTTTTTAATGTTGAAAAAATTACAAAAACTGCTTATCTTTGTTTGACCTTGAAAATATTCGAGGCATAGTTTGACATTAAAAACAAATGAAGACTGTAATCTGCCAAACATTTCCATTCACTTATAGGCTAAGACAATTTTAAAATATAATAAATTCTTGATTATAATTAAGAAAAATGTAATGTCTACATTATTATTGCCAAAAAGCAGCGGAGATGTGCCAAAAATTAAAATATGTAATATAATAAGATAGAGTCAACATGCGTCTGACAGGTGATGCAGTCTGCGCATGGGTCTCACGATTGTGAAATGTCGGTGATTGCGCCTTAAACGTACCCTATTTAAAATTCAATTTGATATATTATTATTTTTTAACTAAACGTTAAAGAAAAATTAAAAGCGCTGTTTGCTAATATCTTCAGAAATATACATTTTAACGAAAATAATGAAATGAATAAAATTATATAAATTAAAATCTTAATAAATCGCTGTTTTGTAGTGTTCTAGGAACATTATTAAGCTCGATGTGGAAATGGTGCTCAAAATAAGCTTAAAATAGACGCATATAATTTTTTTTTTCATTTAAATCAAATAGTTTATGAGTACCACTTCCACCAAAATTAAAAATAATCGTATTCCAACTAAAATTAACTTGGTTTAAGAAATCTTGATGGATTCTAGAAAATACTGTAACTTTAGTACAAACAATTTTCAAAAAACTCATGATTTCATTAAAAAAAATCCATTAAAAAAACAACCAATTTCTCATTATTATATCTCTGAAATTCAAGGTCTTTTTCTGACTAATTATTGGTTTTTATTATTATTTTGTTACACAAATATTGATATAGTTATAATTGTTTCAAAATAAGATAAATTACGGTAAAATTTATGAAAAAAGGTAAGAAAGTTGTAGGTCATTTAATTACATTTAAAATAGTATATTACAAGTTCTGATAAAATCAGAATTAAAAGAGTTATAACCCAATTAATGCCGTGGGTGGTGAAGGAGTGCAAATTGTTTTTACTTCTGAACTTGAGATCAAGATTAGCCTATTTTCAAAATATCAAGCAAATCAAGAGCATAGTAAAAAAATTGCTGGGCACACGCTTCTTTTCTCTCCATTTACTGAAATAATTTTGTTGATCGTAGGTTGAATAGAGCACATGTGAACAGGATTTGACAAATTAATTCAAAATATAAACAAATATAAACTTAAATTATAATGTATACTCAATTATTAGTGAGAAAAATGTAATTTAGATATTAAAATTACTAAAAGCCAGTTAAAATATGGTACGAAATTATAAAATTTATAAGCAACATAATTGAAGCAATTATTTTGGGTAAAAAAAATCAGAGTGATATTGTATCTAAACCGCGAATGCTATATATTAATTCTTTCTAAATTTGTTATACCTTTTAAAAGGTAGAGGAATCAATCAGGGGCGTGATAGAAAATTATAGCTTTCTGAAAGTAAGCAAGAACAACTACGTTTATTTACACAATTTGAATTAAAAAAGTTAAAACAAGTGAATAATTCCATTAGTTGTTAAGACACTAAAATTATTAGACACCTAAATAATTTAATTTTAACTGATTGGTTTCAGAAACCAACTTCTTCTGGTAGCTATATTAATAACTTATCGTTTCAGTCTTGTTCTGTGAAAATTTCCATAATCATATTTCTTAATGATACAGGCTTTCTTGTAAGTAATAAGAAATTCGATTTAGTCCGCTTCATTCCCATAAATATTTCTTATCATTTAATTTTAATCAATAATATAATTCATAGGAGCTTAGAATTTTTAAGCATTTCTAATAATGGATAATAATAATGTAAGCGTGATAAATTTAATTATTTTATCAGTAACCGAAATTTGTTACAGTATGTCAATGGAATTATGGCCATGTCTCATGAAATCGGTCACTTGCCATTTGAAGCAGAGGTCACGGATTTCTTGATGTTTGGTGCAGAAAATCGCGTAACAGTTGTTTGTGATAATACATTGCTGCAGGACACAATACCGCAAGGAAGTTTCGTTGAATTAGCTGGGTTTGTATAATGCAGAAATTACTAATAGCTCGGTCAATTTAAACCTAAAATCAGGGTGAAGGTTACTGAAATTCATAATGGGATGTAACTTGGCAAAATTGTTAAAAATACAATTATAAAAGAAATCTCAAAAGTCCTCATCAATCCGATGCGAGCTAAAAAAATGGCACACGATCAAAGGTAAAAAAAATGAATCTTTTGCGATTTTTAGCTAAATGGTAAGTTTTATCGCAAAATTACCTGAGACAATATTGTAGAGCATAATTATCTACAAAAAATGAACGCATACTTTTTTTGCTCAGGGACATCGTTTCAAAGATATATCACTTTGAAAAGTACGTTTAAACGCCACCTACGAGTTAGTGTGCTTAGCTCGTATTTTTACGTGATTTTGTTTGTTCGGAACATTTGCAATATAATATTTGTGAATTTTGGTTGGTAATAATACAGACGGTAATTATAGAAAAGCCACTAAATTTTTTTATGGGAGTCATAATTTTCAAATGTTTCTACATCTTTTTCGTATCAATTTTCTTGACCTTCTCCTTCTTCTTTTTCTTTTGAAATGAAACTTCTTTAGGTGCGAGTTACGGCAGATAAGAGTCGAGTGCCAATGATTCGTCATTCGCTCTCGATGATATTTCTATACGGTTCGATTGTGATTAGTCGAGATCTGTCGTTGTATGTGTATCGGCGTCAACGTTGTATGCGTCATTTTATGCTTACTTATCTATGGTATGCACTACCTCGTGGCGTTTAAATGTACTTTTCAAAGTTATATATCTTTAAAACGGTGTCCCTGAGCAGAAAAAAAACCATTCATGCATTTTATAGATAATTTTATGCTCTACAATATTTTCTCATGTAATTTTGCGATAAAACTGACCATTTAGCTAAAAATCGCAAAAAGGTCATTTTTTTACTTTGACCTAGTGCCATTTTTTTAGCTCGCATCGGATCGATGAGGTCTTTTGAGATTTCTTTTATAATTGTACAATTATAAAAGAAATCTCAAAAGACCTCATCGATCCGAAATTGTTTAAAATACGTATTTGAAACAATTTTGCCAAGTTACAGCCCATTATGAATTATAGCAACCTTGAATGCGTAAATTGACCAGGCTATAAATTCATATTCATTTTGTGGTGCATTTTGTGCATTCAATTTCATTATTACCTTCCCGTACTACTTATTGTAACCGTCCGAAACCCGAAAATGAATTTTTTTGCATATCTTTGCGTTTTGTGTGTGCGCGCATGTATGGATATAATTTTTTGTCTTCGATTTTGGGCTCACGAATCATCCGATTTGAATTATTCAAAAAGCATTCGATTTCTACTTACAAGAGGACGTACTGATTAGTTTTCGGCAATGGCAGGTCCAGCCGTTTTGGATATGCGGAGCAAAGAATGCATAAATTAGAAATTAATTTTTTGAGTGGACTGACCCTCCCATTTGAATGATTTGACTTATTTAACATTCAACTTATAATGATTGGAAGAAGTGATTAGTTGAGGTGATTTGTTTTTGGTAAAGACAGGTCCAGCCGTTTTAGAGATCCGAAATTGAATATGCAAAAATTGTAGTTTTTGAGAGGACGGCGCATCCGATTTGAGTGATTCGAAAAGCATTTTGCTTGTGTTGACAGTGTGAAATTAGTTTTTGGGATAGGCAATTATTTTTCAAAATTTCAATGGAAGAATTTTTTTTATTAACTTCCCGAAGGAGAACTTTGTTTTCATCAAAAAATTCGATTCACTAATTTTATGTTTCTTTGACGTTTCAAACCATTCTTGGAAAAAGTGTGTGTGCGTGAACATATTTATTGCCATAAATCGACGTTTTCTCAAAAACGGCTAGACTGATTTCAAAAATTTAAAAGCCATTCGATGTATCTCGATGAGGACTATCGTTTGTCAGTTCTGAGGTACGATCGGCCGAACCGTTTCTTTGTAAATCGCAGCAAAGTGAAAAAATTTTTGTTCATGTTTTAGCCCGAATGGATTTTAAAAATTAAAAAACCGTTCGAAAGATACTGGTTGGGAATCGACCTGATGAGTTTTTGGTAAAGTGTTATATTTTTTTCCGACGATTTTTATGATTTTTTTTATGATAGATACCATAGTATTATAGATCATACTAAAATATTACGGCTTTTTAACATTAAAAATTCATCAAAGTTTGCAAAAATTAGTATCGTTTTTTTGACATTCAAATTAGATCTTTGATGAACGTTTTCTCAAAAACGCCTGAATCGATTTCAGAAATTTAAAAGCCATTTGATGTATCTTAATGAAGACTAACGTTTGTCAGTTTTGTGCGACGATCTGCCGAGTCGCTTCTTTGTGATTTAAAAAAAAAGTGTTAAACCTTACGTCCACTTTTAAGCCCATACTACCGAATCGATTTTAAAAAATCAGAAACTGTTCGAAAGATATTATTTGGAAATGATTCTGGTTAGTTTTAGTTGAAAATCTACCGAGCCGTTTTCTTGTAATTAATTTTGAAAAAAATATATAAGCCGATTTTAGAAACTTTTTTTGGCGATACATGTCATGGTCTCATAGAACTTATTGAAATATTACGGCCTTACGACAAGTAGTTTAATTTTAAAAAATCATCAAAGTTTGAGAGAATGAGTAGTATTTTTGACGTTTGTTAAAATTACTAGCTGTAACTGGAATTCTGTCTTAAGGCAATTAAGACATCATGCCTTAAGGCAAATTGCTGGAACTTCCCGTACCAAAAATTATTATTTTTTTAAAAACGATTAACATTTTTGAAAAAAATTTACTTCGAAAAAACTAGATTTTTGAGAAACTATAAATTTGACAAAAAATTACTTTTTTTGAACATTTTTTTTTTTGAAAACAAAATTTTTTTGAAAAGAAAAATGTTTTCTGCATTTTGACATCTTTTGGAAATTCTGAACTTTTTTTCAAAGCAATCGTACTGCTTGAACTGCGTAGAGACAAAATGTCAAAGCGCGCAAGTGCCGCGCCGCCGTCTAACGCATAAGCATTGGTACGGAACCCATAGAAATGTAAAAACAAATATACTTATTGTTAAAATCTCTATAAAATATCTGATAATTTGATGTGCATATGTCTAATGATCGTTTTGAACCGCCGAATGGCATTTTTTTCCGAAAACGCTAGACCTGCCTTCATGAAAATTTGACAAATTCTTCATCTTGTTAATACAAGTAAAATGGTTTTTGAATTATTCAAATCGGATGCTCCGTTCTCTTAAAAACTGAGTTACCGTTTTCGGCACTTTTTGCCCCGTATCTTTGGAATGGCTAGACCTGCCTTCGCCAAAAACTAATCAGCACGTCTCCTTCGAAATCGTCGACAAAAATTTGTATCCGCAAATACATACATACATACACGCACACACACACACATATTTCCATTTTTTCTAAGGTATGCCAAAATGTTCAGAAGGTTTTAAAACGTAAAGATATATAAAAAATTTCATTTTCGATTTTTTTGCGATTACTATAACTTGCCTTACGGGAAGTTAAAAATGAGACGATTAACTAGGTATAACGATAGAGTACTTGGTTTATATATGTTTATATATGTGGTTTGTGTTGATTGTATATTATCATGTTTCGATATCGTCTTGTAATTGTAATGTTGTTATGTGTGTAATAATAAGAAATTAAGTTGAAGTTAATGAACGTTATAAAAGTGCAATGAACGGTTTAAAAGTGCAATGAACGGTATAAAAGTTTTTTTTTTGACAAATAATGGGACTATACATTTGGTTAGAACTGTTTGTGTTATAATCATGATAGTCCCGTGAAAAATTAAATGTGATATATGCGACTATAATATTGGGACTTTGCAATCTGATTAGTGGTACAGAGCCACAGGTTGGAGTTTGTCAACGATGCTATCCGAAAGAGAGAAAAGCTGGGGCGGCACTAAGAATGAATTTTGAAAGAAAAAAATGGATGTGTGTATGTATGTATGGATACAGTTTTTTGTCTATGATTTCCTGTGCACGGATAAATCGATTTGAATTATTCAAGAAGCATTCGATTCCCATTTATTAGGAGACGTTTTTAATAAAGATAAGTCTAACCGTTTCGAAGATACGGAACAAGAAGTGCTGAAAATAGAAATTCGGTTTTTTGAAATTATATTGATTCAAAAAATATACGATTAGTGTTGACGGGAAGACATACTGATTTTTTTTGCAGAGGCAGGTCCAGCCGTTTTAGAGATATGAAACAAAAGTGTAAAACTCAATAGCTCAATAGAGAACGAAACATTCGATAAAAATGAAAAAAAAAACATTCGACAGTATTGACGGGAAATATGCTGAACAGTTTTTTTTTGCAAAGGCAGTTCCTGCCGTTTCGGAGATACGGGGCCAAAGTGACAAACAGCTAGTTATTGAGGGTTCAAGTTATCTGATTAAAATAATTCAAGTTTGCTTGAAGCGTCCGATTTGAAAGATTCTTCGTTGAAAATATGAATCACCATTTTGGCACTTTTTGCCCTGTATCTCCAGAACGGCAAAACCTGCCTCTGCAGAAAACTAATCAGCACGTCTCCTCATTAATAGAAATCAAATGTTTTTTTAATTACTCAAATCGGTTATTCCAGACTGTCGAAAACGTCGAGGTTGGTTTGTGTTCTTGACGTCGAGGAAAAATTGTATCCGCACATACATACACACACGCACACACACACACACATAAATCCAATATTTCTATGGTTTGCCAAGATAATCAAAACCCTTTGAAACGTAAAGATATATAAAAAAATTATTTCCGATTTTTTTGCGATTACTATAACTTATCCTACGAAAAGTGGAGCGCAAAGGGTAAGAAACCTGTTATGCAGTTTTTGAGGGAACAGATCATTCGATTCGATTAATTCGAAAAACATTTTGCTTGAGTAAATGATGGCGTGCAAAAAAATGCATTAATAGAAAATTTAGTAATTTTGAAAATTAAAAAAAAATC